GCGATCGGATCGTGAAAAATTACAAACCGTGGTCAAGCATTGCGATCGGATCGTGAAAGATCTGGTATCGGATCGTGAATGCAATCAAGCGTAATTCTACTTCAGAATCTGTGAAAATCCTGCTGTATTTTCAATAGGTTGAACAAATCAGAAAAAAATATATATGTCTGTTAAATTAAGTCTGCCTCATATCTTGACTTACATCTAGAAATTGACAATGAGGGTCGGTTGAAAACAAAACTTTACGACAAAAGAGATGATTTCGGCTTCCCAATTGTGAACTTTCCATTTATATGTAGCAACATTCCAGCAGCGCCTGCATACGGAGTATATATCTCCCAATTGATACGATATTCCCGGGCTTGTAGTTCCTATCATGATTTCCTTGATAGAGGATTGCTGCTCACAAGGAAGCTATTAAACCAAGAGTTCCAAATGGTGAAGTTGAAATCATCCCTTCGTAAATTTTACGGACGCCATCACGAGTTGGTTGACCGTTATGGAATAACCGTTTCACAGATGATATCGGATATGTATCTTATGTCGTAACTACAATACCCTTCCCTTTTCACGAATGTGACCTACCGAATTAGACTATTTACCTGATTTGTAATAACATAAGCAACACGACGGGTGTCACATGTGGAGCAGGATCTGCTTACCCTTACGGAGCACCTGAGATCACCCCCAGTTTTTGGTGGGGTTCGTGTTGCTTAGTCATTAGTTTTCTATGTTGTGTCATCTGCACTATTATTTGTTTGTTTGTCTTTTTATTTTTGGCCATGGCGTTGACGGTTTGTTTTCGATCTATGAGTTTGACTGTCCCTCTGGTATCTTTCGTCCCTCTTTAAAAATGATTCAACTTCCTTAATAATTCTGTGCACTAAGTTAAAGAAAAAATGCAGTACTTTTAAAGAAAACACAAAAGACGACACACAATCCTGTGAGAATCATTGAAAAAAATCGCGTTTTGTATCTATAATGGTGACATTCCAATATATCATGATATATTTGAAACTTAATCTTTAGTGTGTCAGATAGCCCAGTAAAAATAAAAGTATGTTGTTACTTGAAAAAGTTCATATTATTTTTTAAAAAGTATAATTTTGTTGATTTTTAATCAAAATTGATAGTGAAAGATGAGGCACATATTATTTTGATCGTGCAAGACAAGGCGTGACCAGAATTAATGATCAGAAAACAACATTTCTTTTACCAATCGATATACTTGTAATTGGTTGAAGCTTGTAACTATTTACTAAGAACGTGAATTAATGCTTTCATTTTTCTATGGTGATATATATTTATACATATAGACCATGTAGACCTATATTTAGACGTGTTTTTATTTAAGAGACAATGGTACATGTAAATAGGCATCCAAGATATAAAAAAAGACCTCCAGGAGCGTAAATTGTCGTACACACTTTATTGATTGGGCCCTATTAATAGTCACGAACTAGAGTTTACAGACACCAAATGAACAGCTTTCTCAGCCTCATTTTTAGACATATACCCCGAATTTGACTACAGCGGTCATCTCAATACCAGAGTCTATGACAAACAAGATGATTTCGATTTTGAAATTATATGAATTTTCCTCACCTTAGCAGCAATTTACCAACCGCATTCGCGTATGGAGTATAGTTTCTCAACTCATACGATTTTCAGGCGCTTGCAGCTGCTACTCAGAGTTTGTAAAACGTCATCAGTGTATGAGCTTTGTTTGTTGAGTAGGGTTTTGTGAAAGAACGTCTCGTCCTTTTTCTTAAAAAGTTCATTGGAAAGTACCAAGACATAATATATAAATATGCAGTGTCTACTTAACAAATAATACAGGATGGGCTTAAGTTATAGATTCTAGGTGCTGACTCTGTGTAGAATTTTATCTACTCTACAGTTTTTCTTTATTTGTCTTTGTACTTTTATGTTCGTCTATTATATTTGGTCGTATGACTCTTGACGTGGTTCGGTATATGTCCAGCTTTCAGGTTTTTGGCTTTTGGGCCTTCCTTATGCGGGTGGGTCCAGAGATGAGATTCAGACACATAGGATTTTTATAGTGTTGTTTTCATTTTTTTATACCCTTGTCTTCATTTTTTCATTTAAATTTGTATTTTATAGGGAAAGTGTATATGCCATTATGCTTTACTATACTAACTGTATTGTCAACTACACAAACTTTTTTTGTTGTAGTCTTTGTTTGATTTAACTGTAAGTGTGTTTGAACGTTTAATTCAGTAGTGTTGTGTTGTATGTCTGTGATGTATGTTTACACAGTTTTTGGCTGCTGGATCCCAGTTATGGCCAAATTAACCAGTTATTTCTGTTTTCGTTATTCACCCGATTTGTCATTATTACGGAACATTTAAAACTGTCATACAAGTGGGCGAGCTAGCTAGAAAACTAGGTCTAACCTACCATATTCTTAGGAAAATGCCTGGACCAGGTCAGGAATATGACAGTTGTTTTTCTGCATTTTTTATACATTTTATTTTTCTTCAATGTTTTACAAAAACCATAAGGATCTTCGTTCTATAGATATGAATGTGCATAAAAATTAATGGAAACAGATGAGACAATCTGAACATAAAACCTATGAAGGACGGACAGACAGACTATTATTGTTATAAGGCAACTAGTCGGTGTGGTATTATCAAATAATTAGATCCAACGGCATTGAACCATCATAGCCCTATTTACAAACAAAAGTAAAACTGAATAATTCATGCAAATCCAATCTTTTGTTATAACAATTACAAATATAAATTATCATTTGTTTAAAGAAAGATTTGATCGTTTTCATGGATTTTTGCAATAGTAGAATTTAAGTCTTGTACTTAAATTCAGTTATCACGGTGTGCTGTGCCATATATGTTTTGTTTGGTTATTAGAGAGTTTTTAAGTAGACCATAATCTCATCGGTGGTTATTGAGCCTTAAAATCTGACGTAAACGAGCCTTCTTCAATTTGGATCCAAGGAGGAAGGCAGAAGACAATTGAACTAAAATATAAAACCAAAAACCCGCCCTCCCTCCCAGTAAATTGACTATTCTTGTAAATATAACAAGTGTGGACACAGAGTTGTGTTATCTGATTGGCCAATTTTTGTAATGACTTATTCAATGGTTGATTCTGTAGAGTGCCTGTAGATGCACATGCCATTTAAATCTAAAATTTTGTTGTCTTGTTTGGTTTGCAAATGTGGACACTCTTTTACATCGAAATAGAAAACAGATACTTAATAAGTAACAATACACTAACAATGAAGGAAGAAACACTTGAAAATTACCATGACTGATATTGTTCCATTTTTCATATTCAATTGTCATGCCCTAAGACTCCTTAGACCAAACTGAAATTTAAAGGAGTTAGATAAAATAAATGTGATCGAATCTTTGAAATATGAATTTAACGAAAGAAAAAAGCGGCAATACTTCAGAATATCAGTAAACAAATTTGATAATGATACTGAAAATGCAATGAAAAAATTTAGCATCTTTATTGTCTTGTAAATATAATCAGAATTAAAAACTGTTTTGGTTTATGCTATCTTTTCAGGTGATGTTTGAGTTAATGAATTCTGATCGATGTAAAAGAACTGTCCTCAAAGACTGATTTACTCGGATTTACTCGGATTTGCAGACTTTGCTGCATCAAAAAACATTTCGTTTTATAAATTGTATCATTAACTACAGATGAACGATGTAAGAGTTTTGATCCATCACCTATGTTCCCCTGATGATCCAAATTGTTTTAATCTTATCTTCAGTTACCACAATCTGTGGTAGTCATTTATATATATATATATATATTTGACAGTACGGTTACCATAATCAGCGATATGCCGGTTAAATCATATTTTCAGATATACCAGTGACAGTTAAATTGCCAGCGATCTGTATCACATAAATACATGTTTATTGAGATTACTTATATACAATATGTATAAATTTAAATAATTTTAAAGGCTGTGACCAAATACTGCCAGTTTGTTGTTGGGTCTTTACAAGAATCTGAGATAACGAATAAGCGGCAAAAGATCTTTCACGAGCCTCAAAATGGGGTACCCGATCTTTCACGATCCGAAATATCAATTTTTTTACAAATATTCCCATTTTTGCAAAGTTTCTGATCAAAATAACTTTAAGAGCTATTTTAAACACTAATATTTAACGACATTTTTAAGAGAAAAGTAGTTTATGCATTAAAAATTGGAAAAAAATAATGTTTGTTTACATTTTTATTTTTTTGAAATTTCGAGGAGCAAACTGATGTATTTTTGTAAAAACGGTATACTTTTAAACCTTGTTTTTTCTCGGATACCGATAATAATGTGATACCATTTTGACAGACAGTTTTATTTTTCCAATATTTGCCATTATAATTCATAAATATTAGATTATTTACTGACGTTGTATGTGTCTTCTCGATAAGATTTCATTCACGGTCCTATACCAGATCTTTAACGATCCAATCGCAATACCTGACCACCGTTACTTATTCTTTCACATTCATATTTCCCGATATACCGAATGACAGTCGTGTGAACGATCCCCTACGATGAAAAAGGATTTACTGAATCAATCCATCAAACAAAAAATGAGCTATTTTTGTTTTAGCTTGTACACAAAATATATTAGAAAAAATCAAACTGTTTAGAAAGTTTCACCACATTAACTCATCAAAGATACAAAAATTTAAACTGGCTATAGAGATTTAAATCAAGAAAGAAAAACATGTATTTTGAAAACCTTAAGTAAACCCTTCCTCCTGCCCACAAAAGAAAAGGATGAAAACAAAAGTTTAAAATGAAGTAATATCTATTTTCTCCTTTTAGATGCAAATGCTAATTTAGAATGCTCCAGATATTGAAAATCTGTAACTTTTATTTCATCTTTAGCAGATTTCTTCGTGTCCCCCTACGAGCCCCACTAATTAATCACAAACATCTACATTGTTTATTCTTTATTTACATTGTCAAAATTTAGTACATCTGCGTAAATACAAGTAAACAATTATAGTCAGAACATTACAAAATATCAATTAGCATGTAATAATAAATATAAAGATAAGAAATTAAAAAGAGATAATGTTTTAAAGCTGCACTTACTAATATCAACGCACGCACACATGCACTCTTACAGTAGAGTAAACAACGTTAGAAGACTTGACATTAAGTTTCCTTATGCTACAACCGATAAGATAAAATTAAAAAGTGATATTTGTAGCTATTTAGATCGTCGGCACTATTACAACGATCATCGATAGACATCTTTAATCAATAAGCTGATGATACATACATATATATATATATTTATTGATTGTTGCTTATTAACGTCCAGTGGCAATTATTGGACGAGAAACAAAAGTGTTAATTCATACAAAAGGTATAGTCTGAAAGATAGATCGATCTGAACGAAGGATGGGAAATTTGGACTGCAACTGGGAAATAAGGGCAATGTGGATAGAGGCAGACATTTTACCACCATTTTGAACAAACCACCTATCTAACCCTCAGACAGTTGTTGCTAAAGTTCTTCAATGTGCAGAGAGCGTGTCACTCGCCGTACGTGAGGCATCAATTTAACGGCCCCATTCCGACCGGACTTTTTCGCGCATCTATAAATTCTGCACAGTCAAACGGACGACACACTTTTGAAAGAGTTTTACTGTCGGACTGAAGAATTCCAGTGATGGCCCTTTTTCTTTACCTGAGTAAACACTTGGGGTGGCATACAGAAAGATAATAAAACAAACACATTAAAAATGAAATGAAGCATATATTTACGAAAGTAACTCGGTTTTTTTAAAGTTCGAAGTTTGATGAAACAGGTAGCAATATACTGTTATTCGAAGTCAGCAGTGAGTATTTTGTGTTTGCACCTATACTCCATCACTTTTTGTTCCGAAGTCTATGTTATCATGTTTTGCTGTCATCATATATTTGTGTTGTGTAAGTTGGAGAGGACTTAATAATTATTGAAAATAGTTTTTAAACAAAACAGTATTATATAAATGAGTAAACAAAAACCAATATTTGAAATCCAATGATGTATAAATACGTAGAAACGTTATAAGTTGCGACGTCTCGTTTCCAATCCTGTTGCTAAATGTATGGAAATTAAATATTTCTAAAACCAAATTCGTTGAGCGAACTATTATTAAACGAATAAGATCGATTGGCGCTTTAAAATAATAAGACAAATTAATAGCAATAATACAGACATCTCCGACTTAAAAACGAAAAAAGATAAACGACCCAACAGATAGCTTAAATGTTTTGGTATAGTGCCCCTTACACAAAAACTGCTCAGAGTTATGAAGAAGAATGACTGAAATCTACACTTCCCAAGTTTAAGTCACCATCACGAACTGGTTGACCGATAAGATGTGTATGTGTCCCAACTCACTCGCGACATGTATTCCCAGTATTAAATCTTTATATATATCAGAAACGTCGTCTGATCTGTTTTACCGATTGTGACAATTGAGTGTGGATTCGCATGGCGGGTAATGCAAGCCAATCAGGAGACGCTTACCCTGACGACTCACCCGGTTTCGCTCTTTAATCTGATAAAACAGATGGGTAAACCTGCACAGAAATACCTAAGAGCACTGACCACACCTAAGTTAACCTTAGAAAATCTAAGTAGTATAGCAATTTAACTTTTCACTGAACAGTTAGATCTAGATGTGCATTTCATGACTGCTACAGACCATTCACAAGAACAGGTCTAGGCAAACCAATTGAACATACCAGGCCAGACATTTAGACAGATAATGCTTGTTGGACAATACTGTTGAAAAGTTTGCTACATGACCCTTCCTCTGGACAGCTTTTCATGGTTTTGCACTTATTATACAGAATACTGTTTGAAATTATATAACAGCAAAAATTTTTGCTTTGATTATGAATGCTGAAAATCTGTCACCTATCCTGGTCGTGTTAATATTAAAACTGTTGTTCACATTGTGAATTATGAATTTAAAGGGCAACTCGTAGTTGCTAGTATAGTGTAAATGAAAGCGATAAGGGTAAAAAGAATAACGATATCACTGGAATAACTTTAATCATCAGGGGTTTGCTATTTGTGACTATAACAAGATAATGGAAGATTGAATAATGTCGGGACTAATACAGAAAAAACAACAACAATCCGAATTGTTATTCTCCTGTGGAATATATCATCACTATAACAATCACATAACTACGGAAGTGTTGGTATCCGAAATGGAAGAAATTAACGAAAATAAAATTTTACGCAATGAAGAAAAAGAAAATTAAGCATGTATTATGTGACAATTGAGTATTAAACACACATATATATATATATAATGTAGTCATCATTGAATTTTTAAGTAATCTCTTATACTGACAGGCAGAGGTAGTGCATCTATTTTGCTTGAAATGTTAGTTTTTAAAGCTTTGTTTATCGCTAATGCGCAACATTTCATTAAAGTCTGAGGTGTTGAAGCAGTCAATTGTAATACATTCAACATATCAGGATTGTCTTTCAAAGAACATGGCCTATCAGCATCAGAATCGAAATCTCGAAGATACAAATGTTTAGAAGTATTGTATCCAGTCAACAACAACATTTCAACGATATCCCAATATGCTTGGTCGATGGCAAGTTCAAATGGATCAAGTTCATAGTCATTGCCACGAATACGACATCGTCCAACGATATCAAGTCGGCAATTCCAATTCATCAAAGCTTTTATAGAGTCGATGTCGTTTTGCTTTACAGCAATCAAAAGTGGCGTTACTCCAGAGAAAGGCACTGGAAAAGTCAAAAACATTATTAATATTATTAAATAAATTTGTATACTTGAATATGTATGATATAAAAGGAAACGAAAAATAAACCCAACAATTTCACAAAAGGGTTATGTGTTATATGTTTTTTCTCTACCTTTTTTAGTATAAAATGCGTTTTTGTGAGTGAGTTTCCAAACAAAACGAGGTGTTTAATATGTCATTGAAAATTATTGATTTGTGCAATTATATTTTCTATAAAATCATAATAATAACACATGTCTGTCTTAAGTACAAAAGGACATTTGTAATGACTTTTCACCAAATGAGGGGTCGTTGGCAACAACACTTAGCGACAAAAGAAATAATTTCAGCTTCAAAATTGTGAACTTTCCATTTCTATGTTCCTACATCCCGACAGGAGCGTCTGCATATAGAGTATACAAGAAGATGCCCGCGAAATCGCGGTACAATTAGGCAAGTGATGAAACAAAGAGTGTGGACGTCGGGTGCCTGTGTTTACACATAAAAAGGGGGGGAGATCACTTCGACAAGTTCAACGCTCATTTCATTTTTGGACAGTTCTGCACCCGAGTAAAAAGGGTGGATGTCGTTTAATTTAGCAAATTGATGCACTTACAATACAATACAGGATCCTTATAGGCCTAACTGTCCTATTTTCTATCATTTCTTCTTACTTTCACTTGAATTTCGCGGGCAGTACGTCGGCTGAAAGCGTATAAGACACGGATAGATAGCGGTCTCCGAATTTGGATATTTTCTCCAAAAAATTGCGTTTTCTGTGGAAAAAAGATTGTTTCAAAGACAAATTTAGGAAGTACAAAACACTACAATTATACGTCATATCACAAATATTTCCGACTTTGTATGGTTTCAGAGTTGTTGCGGCTCAATGAAATCGGTCTCTTCCTTTAGTAGTATAGATATTTCCCAGTTGATACGATATTCCAAAGCATGTATTTTCTATCATGATTTTCTTTATAGCAGGTTGCTACTTACAGGGAAGCTATTAAACCAAGGGTTCCAAGTGATGAAGTTGAAGACTCCTCTTCCAAAATTTTACGGACACCATCACGCCTTGGTTGAACATTATGGAATATCTGTTTACAGATGACGACGGATGTTCTAATTGACGTAACCACAATCCCGCCCTCTTTTCCCCGAATGTGACATCATCGAATTAGACTTCTCACCGGGTTTTTACTTACATGAGCAACACGAAAGGTGGCACAGGACCTGCTTACCCTTCAGGAGCACCTGAGATAAACTCGGTTTTTGGTGGGGTCCGTCTTGCTCAGTCTTTAGTTTTCTGTGTTGTGTTTTGCATACTGTTGTTTGTCTTTTTGGTCGTGTTTTTCGTATTTTGCCATGGTGTTGTCAGTTTGTCTTCGACTTATGAGTTTAATTTTCCCTTTGGTATCTTCCACCTCTGTTTTGCTAAAAACATGAACAAAGCACATTTTGATTACATTGGTTTTTCTCTTTCAGTTTTTTAAGTACCGGTAATGATTATTTGTAAAGGCACGTATAAAGTGGTATATCTGTGTTTGTTGATCTCTAGATGTATTCCTTTGTGTAATTAGATTGCTGTCTAATTGGCGTCAACTCCATTACCTCCCTGTATTCATTTGCAAATACATTGGTGTCGAATGACATAACTAACCTTTCCCCTGAATTAACTAACTGATTGATACCAAATAGATGTCACTGTATAATATTTTTTTTAAATAAGTTACAAGCAAAACCTATTATCATGTTCCGCATGCATTTTTAGATCTTTACTTACATTTTAGATCGACATTTGCACCATTATCAAGGAAAAAGCGTACCAATTGCGAACATTTAAGATACACTGCTACTATCAAAGGATTTGCGAAGTCTGTCGTATTATTGTTCAAATCAGTTCCTGCTTGTGTCAAGAGAATGACAATTGTCATGACGTCATCTTGTATGTCCGTAATTGTTCGACCTCTCAGTGAAATATGGTGACACATTAAGTTAGTCAATGGGGTTCTTAAACCTTTATCCAGTTCATTTGGATCAGCATTGAGACTAAGCAAGAGTTCAACCGCGTCTACCTTCTTTGTGATAGCGGCAAGCTGAAACGACAAATATTTGATATGAATTCAAAATCGATGAAGAATTGACGAGAAAGGGTGAGGAGCATACTTTAAACATGCCAATATCTATGTCATATCTAGTTTAAACAAGCGTTCTGAGAGTATTGCATGGCAAAACATAGTCCCCTACCGGGTAAAAATTCATTTTACTGGAACAAAATGCTAACTTGTTCTATAACTTGCCATGGTGTAAACAAAAAGTAAATATCATGTCAATATCTTCAAGCATGACTAAAAACAGTGTGGAAAACTGATTATATGAGTGAAAAAAACCATTAGATATGATTAATAGTTCTCTAAAATTAGATATGATGTAATACAGTGTATATCTATTTTCAAATTATAATCAAATATAATTAATAGTTCCAAATATTTTTTCTTTCATTTGTCACAAACTAATATAGATTTGTAACTTATCTATAAAATGTCAACAACTTTTATCTACACAATGTAATGTATTGAAATATATACATTAAAAAAATTGATTATTATCTAATTAAAGGATTTCTCTTCATAATTTTTTTTTATAGAAAATTAGTTTATACTAAATAACAAACAAACCTGCCAAAAAATTCTTCAAATAATTTAACAAAGAATGTCTTTTAAAAATGAGATATCTCCCTTTGAACAGAAATATGGTTTAACATAGTAAGTCTAACATTAGATATGGTCCAGAGTTATGGTCCATAACTCTGGACTAAATCATCAGACCGGAACAAAATTCAAACTTGATCTATAACTTGTCATGATAAAACTATATACCATATATCAAATCAATATCTTCAAGAACGAAGAAAAAAAGTGTGGAAAGCTGATTTGCCGGACTGACGGATGGACAGATGGACAGAATAGCAAATAATTTGGGTGTGAAATAAGAGCTTCATTTTCACCGTTTGTATTTGGATAATAGGATGACTGTCATGCTCGAAAACAGGCTCATAACAATCCATGTCTCAAACATATACTCTGTTTCTCTGGGTTTTTGTGTTTAGAATAATTTATTTAAGTCTTTCCTGTGTCTTCATATTGGGCTTGTGTTGTCATGTATTATTAGTTATAATAATCTTACATGCAGCGCTGTCCTTTTGTCTCTAAAATCATGAGCATGAATATCTGCACCTGCATCAATTAGTATTTTCATGACTACAAAATAGTTATCAAGTCCCTTTGTCGTCATCAGTGTCATCAGAGGAGTGACCCCGACGTCTGTGGTTATATCAACATCAGCGCCATTGCGAAGAAACAGCTTCACAAACTTTTCTGACCCTTCTTCTACTGCAGCATGTAAAACCGATTTTCCATATTTGTCCTTGGAATCGGCAGATTCTTTGTCTTGTCTTATTAAAAGGTCAGCTATTTCTTCATTGTCTGCGTTTATGCAGAATCTAATTGGTGTTATACCCCATGGATCTCGAACATTTACCGAGGCACCGTTTTCCAGAAGAACTTTCACACAACCGAGTCTCCCCTTTTCACTTGCAATATGTAAAATAGATTTTGTACTGATTCTATCAGAATCTTCGAAAATCTGATTTACATCCGCTCCATTTTCTATAAGTCTCCGAAGTTCATCGATATTGTCATCGACAACTGAATAGTACAAACGACTTGATAGATCTTCCATTTTGTTTACAAAAATTCTGTAATAATAATAATCATAAATAATAACAGGCAGAAATATAAGTTACATATACTTAATTAACAACATGAAGAGAGTATTTTTACAGTCTTATTTCATTTCTTTACTTTCAATATTTTGCTTTTATAATTTATTTTTAATATTTACATATGTTTTTAAGTTTTACGATTAATAGAGATATAAGATAAAAAAAAGAATTATTGGTAGAGGTCGTGAGTTCAATACTCGACTTTTGTAATTGCTGATTCCTTGTCTAGCAAGCTTTGTGTTTTGAGTAACAGCAAATTGAGACGGGTCGGCTCAGTCAGAGTAACGTTATCGAGTAGTTCTATATGTAAGTGTCTTCATTCTGACTGTTACCATGCTATATCTCATTGGCTAAAATTATATTACAGAGTATTTTCGTATCACATTAAACTTGTTATTGTATACGATAATCAAACAAACATGTGTGCTTCTTTTGTTTTACATTAAGCTTATAGCAGCAATGCATTTTGTAAATTAGATAATTATATAACATCTAAGATATACAATTCTTTGGTTACATCTTCAATTTACAAAATAAGAAATACAACAATTGTTATGATAATTCAACACGTGTAATCACCCCTCAAAGAGCCCCTTGGCACTTAAGTGTGTACATCATGCATGTGTGTTTTTCTATTAATATCATCAAAGTAACAATCTCTATTTCGATCTTCGAGCATCTCCTTTTAATATTCTACTGACCGTGTAATTATGATTTTTTTTAAAAGAGTAAATAACGTAAATTACCTTATCAGTCATACTTGTACTGTCATAAATTTAACAACTGCAGTCCTACTGCCTAGTAGATTCCTATGGTAAAATACAGAAATTCCTAATATCTTATATATGTTATTATACTTACTGCGTTTTTATTTGAAATCACACATTTTGAGTAACTTCACTAAGCATATGGATTATCTATGTCGTTTCATGAAGCCTTTACCATACATTATATTAATTAATTACATATAAATTATTTCAACTTCTTTAGACTATACGAAACAGCTAGAGAGCGTTTCTAATCCTGGGAGGATTCCCTCAATGCGTAACCGTCTGTAAATAATCGGTCTTGACCATACTTTTCGTCTTATTTTTTTGGCAAGAAAATGACTGATTTACTTTTGCCCAAACTTTAAAAACTGATATCTAATAAGTCGTAGTATTTCCGTTTCTATTCAACATTAAATTAAGCCCATATCCAAACATATTAACGCTGTTTTTTGTTGTTGTTGTTGTTGTTTTTTTTTTTTTAACTTTAATTTTAATTACATATTATCGTTGGAAACAATATTCCTTTGCAGTGAACATGTACATTAATCTAATATAAAATAAAAAGAAACATTAGATTTTCATTTTAAATTGAACGCCGATATTGTAAGTTTGAGCAATACGAATTATAGTGACGAAACACATTTTGCATGAAGCGCAGAGACGCTTTCTCTACAAAACTCGCTTTCTTATTGCTCAAATTTACAAAATCAGCATTCAATTTATATGTAGTGAAAATAAATGACCGTAAGGTAACTCAATAGAATATTGGCCTCATCGTTATAACATGTAGATGACGGAAAGTGTTTTAAAATGGTTACCGGTAAATTGCACACGATATGAATGATTGTGACAATACCAAGTGGTATATGTTTTATCCGAAACAAAAACAGATAAGCATATAAAATATGTCAATATAAATATGTAAAACAAATCTTGTAACCACTTATTTAAAACAAAATTAGAATGTTAGACCATATTATGCCAGGATATAGTTTAAAAAAAAACGTTGACATTATGAGAATGAGAATGGGATTACATTCTCACAACGGGAATACTAATTTTGCAGGAACACAAGTTGACATTGGAAGGAAAATATATCTCTTGTTATATTTCATAGGGTAGTAAAATCAAAGTAGTTTAAAAGTTGATTATTAAAATTTGGCTTATTTCTGCAATAAATATTTACATGGCTTACTTTCCATACTATTTATTTCCAATGTTTTTTTATAATTCTAAAAAAAAAAAAGTGAACAAAACTAACATCTATTGTTACTTTGCACATACGCCGATTTAAATCCTAATTATCAAATGCAACACATACCAGTTTGTGTATGCATTGCAATATAATAATTGCGTATATAAATAACTGATCTTCGAATGCTCTCTGTGGTTTTACATACCGATCTTTTGGGGTTGGTGCGTAATCTGTGTAGCACCAACATAACAGAAAGTAAGTCAGTTTATCTTTAAACATTACCAAAAGTAAAGTCCGCAAGCAATAGTAGTAAAACTTGCATTCTAGTCCTTGACGAAACTCTACAAACAGCTAATGGAAATGTCGCAATTTTGTTATCGCATCAAAATTGTTTTTCAATCCCGACTCCTCTTCTTTTTAAAAAGGGAAGGAAGGTACCAAGGGGGTATGCAAAACTCATAAGCAAACTGACAACACCATGGCAAAAAAAAAATATTAAAGACGACGAAAAGACCATCAAGTCTACAAACACAACACAGGTTCTTAAACTGTTTGTAATATAGATCATGACAACAAAAGCTCTTAACGTAATAATATAGATATTAAAGATATCAAAAACACAACTAAAAATTAAAAAAATTTGAATTATACTGTATCAAATAATACTCGAATTCACAGAAAAAAAAAACTTATTTGAGTAAGGGCTATTTATTGTAACTTGTAATATATTTTTGACTTTGATACGGAGTTACGGAACAGTTTGTTGCCATCTTCGACATTTAAAAAAAAGGAGACGGGTTCATTATATGCAGAGAGAGGTTATTTCTGTGATGAAGACTATGATTTATGAAAAAAGTGAAATAAAATGACGAAGCAGTAAAGCCTCATACTTTTGTAAGCTTTTGTTTGCTCTTTATTTTCATAATTTGTAGGCCCTTATGCATATCTCAATATGGCAGTACTAGCAGCACAACTCTATAATGCTGTAGATTGTGGCAATAGTAACGAGCTTCAGAGACTTATTGACAATGGTGCTGATGTAGACCAGTGCTATGATAACTATTCTCATCGTAAATCTATCTTACATTTTGCTTGTGGAAAAGGAAGGATTGATTGTGTAAAAATATTACTGGATCATGGTGCTTCCGTCAGTATACGAGATAAATGGAGGATGCCTCCTATTATGTATTGTATCAGTACAAATTATTTAGATATAGCTAATATGTTGATTGAAAAAGACAGGAAAACAGTAGATGCCCAGGATATGCATGGCAGATCATCTCTCCATGTTGCAGTAGAAGATGGTTCAGAAACTGCAATTAATTTGCTTTTACAAAGCGGATGTGACGTAAATATTCAAACTTTTAACGGTATATCACCACTTATGTTATTGATGTCGTCAAAGGATATAGACAGTTACTTTCCATTAATGAAGATGCTTCTTGAATCAGGAGCCAATGTTAACCTAGAGAGCTTTAGAGACAACAGAACTGCATTACATGTACGTAAACCATTATATTTATTAAAACTTATGACATAATCTAAGCCAGAGAAGGAAGGGAATTACTTTATTGCGAAATAATATTTATTGAAACTTATGATATAATCTAAGCCAGAGAAGGAAGGGAATTACTTTATTGCGGAAATCAAATTCAAAATTAAATAGAAAGATGAAATAAATGATAAAATACATATTTTTTTACATTATTTATAACTCCTATACTAGACACTTTATGGTTCAAAACTCAACTCAAATTATTTGGTTTTCAAGTTGTAAATCTGATTAAAAATTAAGTTGCCATTTTTTACATGTTGAATATTTCAAATTCTTTAGACTATACGAAACAGTGTGCGTTTCTAATCCTGGGACAATTCCCTCAATGCGTTACCTGTTTCTAAGGTTAACTCTCAGGAAACAAACCATCGTCTGGTACAAAAATCTCAAAGTATCTGAAAATTAGCAAGGAGCCTTTATAAATTAAAATGTATTACATTATGACTTACACGCACTATGATAAATATTTTGGTATGCATGTTTTTGGATAAAGCTCGAAGCCAACAGTTGCATAAAATAATTTAAGATCTATGGCAAGCCGTTTTTCTATTTATTCCAACTTCAAGATATCTCATATAATATATAAGCTATCTCATATAATATATAAGATATTTAATATAATCTAGTTTTTATGAGATATCTTATAAACTTTATAAGATATCTTTTATACTTTATAAGATATCTTTTATACTTTATAAGATATCTTCTAAAGTTTATAAGATATCTTATAAAGGAAATTATATGAGATATCTTATAATGTATATAAGATATCTCATATACTATATAAGATATTTCATGTAATTTATAAGATATCTTATATATTATATGAGATATCTTATATATTATATGAGATATCTTATATTATTTATAAGATATCTCATATAATTTTCTTTATAAGATTTCTTATAAACTTCATTAGAAATCTTATATACTTTATAAGATAACTTATTAATTAAGAATATATCTTTTAAAGTTTATAAGATATCGTATAAAGTATATAATAAATCTAATAAAGTATATAAGATATCTTATAAAGTTTATAAGATATCTTATAAAAACTATATTATATAATATATCTTATATATTATATAAGACATCTCATATATTATATAAGATATCTCATTTAATATATAAGATATCTCATAAAGTATATAAACCATTTTATAAAGTTTATAAGATATCTTATAAATATTTTTTGAAGATATCTTATATACTTTATAAGATGTTTCATATATTTTATACGATATCCTATATTTTATTAGATATCTCACATAATTTATAGGATTTCTTATAAAGAAAATTATATACTTTATAAGATGTTTCATATATTTTATACGATATCCTATATTTTATTAGATATCTCACATAATTTATAAGATTTCTTATAAAGAAAATTATATAAGATATCTCATAAATTATATGAGATATCTTATAAACTATATTAGATATCTTATAAACTATATAAGATATCTTATTAACTATATAAAATATCTTATTAACTACATAAGATAAAATTTATTAGATACCTTGAAGTCATGATAAATAGTAAAACGGCTTGCAATAAAGATCATCAAAATCTAAAAAAAGATTAAAAGGAACAGAAAATAAGCAAAAATATTAAATCACAAGATAAATGCAATTTCTCTTATTCTTACCCGATTAATACTTTTTCCAGACCGGGTGATTACTTTTTTATAATCAAGGTGTGATTACGCTGGGCAGGTGTTTCGTCTGCATAAGACTCGCCAGTGACGCACGAGGAGAATATCAAATACGAAGAGCATTGAAAACCACAAACTACCAAACTTTTGTCAAGTGTTTCTAGTGATTTGTTTTCGATTTATGAACAGAACATTTTCCGAAAATGCACGCATCAATTATATTTCATGTCAGCTCCAGCCTCGCTCTAATCAAAACAGAATGAAAACAAAAGACATCATGAAGTTGAAGCGCAATGAAAACCACAAATTCGCAAAATCTGACAATACCCTTAGTGTTTCGATTGATTTTAACATTTTATGGTTTGTAATTTATGGAATAATATTACATTATCAATGATATTTCATGTCAGCAAAGGAGTGCAGTCTACTGGGCTGGTGATATAATCAGAGCAATTGTTAGTTGATTGCGGGATTAAAATTTATAAATTATAAGGCCAAACTTAGTCATATTTTCTTTCTTCAGTTCTGATTATACGTTATGATATGTAAAACGATTTTGCAGAAATTGTCAAGACTATAGATAAAGCATTTTTATACGACCGTAATGGTATGACATTGTCGTCGTCGTCGTCGTCCAAAGACATTTGGTTTCCAGACAATAACTTGAGTATAAATGTATGGATTTCTATAAAATTGTACCACAAGGTTCCATACCACAAAAGGAAGGTTGGGATTGATTATAGGAGTAATTGTCCTAACTGTTTAGGAATTAGTTGCCAAAAACAAGCATTTTTTCTCGTTTCCGGACAATAACTTGAGTAAAAGTCTATGGATCTCTATGAAATTGTACCACAAGGTTTCATACCAAAAAAGAAAGGTTGGGATTGATTTTGGGGGTTATGGCCCTAACAGTTTAGGAAAAAGAGGCCAAAAACAATACTTTTCTAAAACTTTGTATAAATTGATTATTTCTTGACCAATTGCAATGGGGTTTAACTCAAAGTCATGAATTCTTGGGGTTCTTCAATGTGCTAATCTAACCGTGTATTTAGATTTTGGGCCACGTTTTAAAATTGGTCCACATTAAGGTCCAAAGATTAAAAAATTAAACTTTAGTTAGTTTGATTTTAACGAAAATTGAATTATTGGGGTTCATTGATGTGCCGGATCTAACCATGTATTTAGATTTTTGTTTTTTGGGCATGTTTTCAAATTTGTCCACACTAAGATCCAAAGGGTCAAACATTAAACTTTGTTTGATTTCAACAAAAAGATAATTCTTTTATATGGTGAATCTAACCCTGTTATAAGATTGTTGATTTTGGGCCCGGTTTTCAAATTGGTCCACATGAAGGTCTAAATGGTCCAAAATTAAACTTAGTTCGATTTTAACAAAAAAAATAATTCTTGGGGTTCTTTAATATGCTGTTTGTAGGCCCAATTTTCAAGTTGGTCCAAATCGGGGTCCAAAATTTAAATTTGTTTGAATTCAACAAAAATTGAATATATGGGGTTTTTCGATACGCTGAATCTTACCGTTTATTTAGATTTAGGATTTGGGGCTCTGTTATTAAATTGGTCCATATTTAGGTCCAAAAGGTCCAAAATTAAAACTTGTTTTGTTTGATTTCAAAAAAAAAAAACTAATTCTTGGGATTCTTTGATATGCTGAATCTAACCATGTAAACAGATTTTGGATCTTGGACCATAATAGGTAAATGTCCAATTTCAATTTTTTAAGTTCTTAGATCACATTCATTCTGTATCAGAGACCTATGCATGCTGTGTCAAATATTTAATCACAATCCAAATTCAGAGTTTTATTGCACAATTAATAGAAATTGTAAGTAGATTCAAAGTTAAAAATAGAAACAGCATAAATTCGATTTTTAGAAAAGAAATTATGTACACATATAGTTTGAAATTTACTGTTCATTTTTAGGTATTTTTAAAAATAGTTAAAGGTAAGTTTTATAAATTTTTTAAAGACATTGTATTAATGATGAATGATATTTTGGAAATTGTTTTTTTTTTTCATTTTTTTTTTGTAATAATTTTGAATAACTTCGTGGTAGGTTTGTTTGTTATTCTGTGTAAATTAATTTTCAGAACATAGGATTGAGCGTTGTTTTCAATTTAGACTTGTTTATATTTTTTCGTTTGCGCTTGTATTATATTTGCCTTCGGGTTTATATGATCCGTTCATCCTATTTTGACTCTTTCAAAATTCAAGAGTCTATCCTAAATTGAGGTAAATTATATGGCCTTCCAAATACCGTTTCGATTCCTAACATCACTGAAGAGACATTAATTGTCGAAATCCGGATATGGTGTACAAATTTTTGCACCTCATGTTTGCTGTATACCATCTTTTCCGCAAGTTTATTGTTTTCTGTTTGGTAATAAATTAATAATAAGATCTATTTTGTTACATCTTGTGATCCGTTTTTTTGGCCTTCCAATAACCGTTTCGATTCCTAACATCACTGACGAGACATAAATTAGTTAAGATCCATTTATTACACCTTGTGATCCGTTTATTTGGCAATCGCCAATGGCAGTCAGCAGGATTTAAGAACATTTGTTGTTCGACCTGTTAGTCAAATGCGTTTTGTTAAAATATACTTTTTTACTTTTTTGGTCTTTTCGAAAATGTTGTTTGTGCTGTATTTAGACCCCTCTACCAAGAAATTTGTTTTGCATGCACACGTATAAAAATTGCGGTTTTTATCCAACGCAATCATAGGTTTGAACGTTGTTTTCAATTTATATATATATAATTCGTCTCAAATTTTGCCCAACAATGTTAGATCTGTAAATTTGCGTTAGCAAATTTTTGTTAGTTCCTCAGCGGGATTCGAACCCTTGCTTTTGTGACATCGTGGCAACACCGCCTGTATTGGATATTAAATCATAAGAAGTAAAAGTCCAATTTAAATTTTTTTAGTTCTTTGACCACATTTAGTCTGTGTCAGAAACCTATGCTGTGACAAATATTTAATCCTAATCCGATTTCAGAGCTGTGTCAAGTTTGAATGTAGTGTCTATACTTACCCCAACTATTCAGGGTTTGACCTCTGCGCTCGTATCAAGCTGAGCCCATTTTATTACCACTTACTATAAAGCAATGCTTCCGAACTCTTATCGAGTTGAGCGATTTTAAGTTAAATAGTTCTTTATATTTTGTATTGTTTAGACACAGCAATAAACAATTTTTCTATGCGCATTTACATCAGATACAAATAATATCTCTGCTTATTTACAGCTTGCATCGATTACAAAGAAAGTAGATGCCGTTGAATATTTGTTGAAACTTAACGCCGATCCAAACCATGTGGACACATCTGGTAAAACACCTTTAACCAATCTACTGGATCATCATGTTCCAATCTACCAACAAAGGCCAAAAATTACCGATGACGTCATGTGCATTGCCGTACTTCTGACACAAGCAGGTGCAGATATGAACTTGACGACAACAGAACTTTCCAATCCTCTCATTATGGCTGAACATGTCAAATGCCATCAAATGGTTCGACTTTTCTTGGATCATGGGGCCGATGTAAATATGAGATGTAAGTTTTTTTTCACTGAAAAAAGTGTTTCAATTTATCCGAAGATAAGACTTGTGGCTATTTTCCAAGAGAGAAGCATACACCTTTTGTGCACTTTTATCTCATTGACCTTCCCACCTTCATACTTGTACTGATGGTTTGATTTTGGGGGAAATGCCGACAACGTTTATCAGCAGCCATTGACTATCCTTCATATAAAATTGAGAATGGAAATGGGGAATATGTCAAAGAGACAACAACCCGACCAAAGAGCAGACAACAGCCGAAGGCCACCAATGGGTCTTCAACGCAGCGAGAAAATCCCGCACCCGGAGGTGGTCCTCAGCTGACCCCTAAATAAAATTGTGTACTAGTTCAGTGAAAATGGACGTCACACTAAACTCCAAAACATATAAATGAACTAAAATTAAAAAAACATACAAGACTAGCAAAGGCCAGCTATAATGATTAAATTTAAACAATGAGTATATGACTAGTTGCCAGTGCAAGAAGTGAACTTGGTCATTTGAAACCACCCTGCGTGTAACCATGCATTAGGACAAGAACGCATATTTGTCTTTTATTCATGCAGGTCTACTATAATTAACATAGTATAGCATGTAGATCACTTATATAGTCTAGTAAATTCAATTCGCATGTTCTTCGAATGCATTTCTTGAATACGGCACTTAAAATTCTGTCCTTCGAGACACCCCCATATATTTTTCTGGATCCTCCTCTGTAAGTGGTATCCAGTAGTCCTATAGCATATGAATTCGGAGCGACATACCGGTTTCTATTAATCTTCTGAAATTTTCTTTTTTATTTTGATATATTTGGCGTATGGAGTTATTGTTCTAAGGTGTGCATGTCTGGTGGGATTCATATGACTTTGACCTCTGTTTCATAGTTTATTGGTCAACATTAAGTTTTCATGATCCTTTTCTCAGATACGATAAGCAATTCATGTAAGTCAACTGTATTTGGTGTAAATGGAATGATTGTAAGGTAAACATAGATATAAGAAGATGTGGTATGAGTGCCAATGAGACAACTCTCCATCCAAGTCAAAATTTATAAAAGTAAACCATTATAGGTCAAAGTAAGACATGTCTGTCTACTAGGATTTATTTTACCTTGACCTCATTTTCATGATTAGTCCAGTTTTCGTGGTGAGGTCTGTTTCTAAGATATTAATAGAAAAAGTCGTCTTTAATTGGTGATTGAATTAATTGTAAAAGAGGAACGAAAGATACCAGAGGGACAGTCAAACTCAAAGATCGAAAACAAACTGACAACGCCATGGCCAAAAATAAAAAGACAAACAGACGAATAATAGTACAGATGACACAACATAGAAAACTAAAGACTATGCAACACGAACCCCACCAAAAACTGGGGGTGATCTCAGGTGCTCCGGAAGGGTAAGCAGATCCTGCTCCACATGTGGCACTCGTCGTGTTGCTTATGTTATTACAAATCCGGTAAGTAGTCTAATTGGGTAGGTCACATTCGTGAAAAGGGAAGGGTATTGTAGTTACGACATAAGGAACATATCCAATATCATCTGTGAAACATTTATTCCAAAGAGGTCAACCAACTCGTGATGACGTCCGTAAAATTTACGAAGGGATGATTTCAACTTCGAAGGGAGGATTTCAATGTAAGTGTTCACATAACCTTGAACCCACTTGTATGACTCAGTTTTCGTGATAAGGTCCGTTACTCAGCAATTGTGAGCAAAAGGTCAACTATATTTGGGGTATGGAATGATTGTTAGCTGTACATGTCCGTCTGATAGTATTCATCTGACCTTGACCTCATTTTTCATGCATCATTGACAATGTAATTGTATGCGATATTTGTAGAAGAACCTTTACCTAAAAACTTTAAACATAAAATGTAATCATGATCAGTAAAGCCGGTTACACATTGCAGCGTGTGCACTCTTATTTGTAGATCGTATTTTGCTGTCCACATTTTTGTTTCGGTTTTGTTTGTAGATGTTGTCCTGCAGATCATTTTGCTAATTTACAGTTTATTAGCCAAAAAGGTGTCAAATTGTCATTTTAGGCAATAAGGAGTCATCTGACAATTTTGGTCATAATGGACATAGGTATTTCTTTACTTTCTGAACAATTCTTCTCCGGTCAGATTTTCTATATCGGTTTTCAAGATAAACGACAATACTTGCATTTTACTCCTGTGTTTTATTTTTAGTCTTGACGGCCATGTTGCATGGAAGGCGGGATCATCGGACGCATTTTTGAACTCTTTTTTTTTAAACTAGATACACCAAGGAAGAGAAATCCCTCTAACATAAGAAAATTCTAATCAAAGAAACTCGAATCAATGAATGAATAAAGAAATGTTTGTAATTGGCATTTTATAAATAGGCAAAACTATGTGAACAGTTGATTGATCTGATTTTACATAACATCTTATATTCATGTTTCAGTCCCTTACTCTAGACTTACACCTAACATCTTATATTCATGTTTCAGTCCCTTACTCTAGACTTACACCTACCATCTTATATTCATGTTTCAGTCCCTTACTCTAAACTTACACCTAACATCTTATATTCATGTTTCAGTCCCTTACTCTAGACTTACACCTCTTGTGATGGCAATTCAGCAAAAGGATATCGATATAGTCAGAGTACTCATAGACTGGAACTGTCGATTTGATTTAACTGGCCGATGTTTCAGGCAAGGAGATTATTACGATATCAGCCCGTTTGAACTAGCTATACGTCAGGGATCGTGGGATATTGTAGAACTGATGGTATTACATGGATACAACGTGTCAACATTGTCATATTTAAAAGACTCAATCATAGTTAGTGATGTTCCATTAACCCTCAAAAACAATCCGGAGATGTTACATTTCCTTAGTTACTATGCTTCAAATCCAGCATCACTTGTTAATTTGTGCACATTGATAATCTTCAAAGCGATACGATCAAACATAAGCAATAAAATAAAATTGCTTCCGTTGCCATCTAGTATAAAAGAACACATGGTAAGCTATTATTTCGATAAATCCCGTCAAAAATAGTAAATTAAATTTACATTTTCAATTTGCACCTAAATTGCAGATCTCCATCAACGTATGATACAACATCATTCAGTGAAGCAGTTTCCAAAAAGATGTTTTTCACAGGGTTTTTTTTACGTCGATACCTTTTGAAATGTCCCTCAATGACGTCGATTGTGAATCTAAGGCGCCATTTTAAATTTACAAATTTAGGAGGGATACTCCCCGTTTTTTTTTATATCATTATCCAAGCAGATTGCATAATATGGAGCTATGGCGAATAGATCGCTAAACACTACTGACCGACCAGGTGTTCTAAAGTTTACAAGCATTGTACAGTGACAACATATGGAAAGATACGTGATACAAAATAAAAACAGTTTTCGTTCACTAAATCCAAATTATTTGCTACTTATTATGTAAAATTAGTTTTTCTTACAGCCATATGAAATAAAATATGAAAGTCCAGTAACCAGTTTCAGAGAGTTACTTGAATTTACGAACATTCTTTGGATAGGTTGAAATAAGTATTGTTATATGAGGATGTGTTTTGTTTTTGAATATAACCAAATAAAGTTACAGTTTTTTTCTTGTATTATTTTCATTTTGGCGTTAACGTTACAATACATATTCTGTTCTTTCACCAAATAAGATATTATGGACAATGCTTAGTGCTTATTTCTGTATTTAAGAAGGATAACAAAAATATCGAACTCCAAGGCAAATTCAAAAAGGGGAAGTCCATAAAAACTGACAAAATCAGACGCTATTAATCAACAGAACAAGTGAAAAACAACTGTCATATTCCGGCTACCAGACTTCATTTCTGTAAATGTCATTTTTGTGGCAATTTTTCTCTATTCTGTAAAAATTATGCTTATTCTGTAAATTTCTTATGTTTTCACGTACATATGTAATTTCCTGTTATATCTAGGATAATAAGCAGTAGATAAAAATACATTAGACAGTAGTTAACCGACATTAGAGAAATCTGGAATTTGATAGTTAGAGATCACAAAATAAAAAAAACTGCCTTTTATCAGAATACATCTTTGAATAAAGACCAAGAACCTCACAGGCAAATTTGTATACTTGTATTTGTTTTGAAAATAAAATTTTTATCACTTAAACTAAACTTTATCCTTGATAGCCTAACTGCCCAAAAAATATCCAAACATTTTCTATTGTTTGGGAAAAGATTGAAATATATTCAACATTTATTGGAAGTGAAAAAAATGTTATGCCCAATCATTTATATGAGGCACGGGTTTGGTCAAAATTATTGCGTTTAAGGAAATTCTGAAAAATTTCAAAGCCTCAAATTCAGGATATCATAAATCATTGATGACCTCCCGAAATATTTCGGCACCTCCATGATTCGATTACAGGATATCCTGAAAGATATCAGGACCTCCACAATACAATTTCAGGAATAATGGAGGTCCTGAAATATTGCATGATATCATGAAATCGGATAATGGAGATCTTTAAATCGAATTATGGAGGTCCTGAACTATTTCAGGATATTGTCTTAGGTTTTAGGGGTATATTTTGATATTTGCAACAACAAATCAGGATATCCTAAAATACAATAATTTTTGTTAAATCTGTGCCTCATAATCATTATGATACAGAAGCAGAAGTTTTCAAAGGGATATTCTTAACACATAAGTCAAAACGAAAAAACGAACTGACAATGCAACGGTAAAAAAAACAGCACTCAATTCCCTTCTGTTGCAGTGCATTTTGTTGTCAATGATTATCCTCGTCTGAACTCTGTTTTATCGATGTTGCAATATGTAGTACAAAATGATACTTTGAGATTTTTTTTTAGCTTAATGGATGTATATGATTGGCATGGCTAAGATCAATGAAACATTTCCGTTTACGATTATTTCGACATTTTATACCAAATAATATACTAGTCTATTATCAATTATCAATAATAAGTTTTATGTGCAGAAAACGCACAATTTCATTATTCTGTTAATCATATATTTATGTAATCAGTATTTTTTAACTTATTCTTTATTTTTACACAATTATTCTGTATATTCTAGCACCCCTTATTCTCTTTTCTTTATTGTTTTGCCCAATTTTTTCTATTCTGTATTTTTTGCCCATTATTCTCTATTCTGTAAACCCAATATACACCCTTATATAACCAACACTCCACAAAACACTATAGTAAACTAAAATTTTAGAAACATGAACACCACTAACAATCGGGGTATTGCTGCTCAAGGATTTGTGTCGTCGTTTCAGTAGGAAATTGTTTCAGACATTCCATAGTCAGTGTTATATTTAAAATAGATTGATATAATGTTTACAGCCGCGACCTAAATTTGATGAGCACTGCATATGAGTGTTTACTTATAAGTTAAATGGCTAATGTCCTCTGCAATGTTAAATACATCTGGTTACGTCTTCAGTTCTTGTCTAAATTTGTGTTAGTTGTTATAAAAGCATACATGTCTTTGTGATAAGAAATGTATGATATAATTTCCGTTAACATAACAGGGGTTCCAGGAATAACCTTCATCACGTACAAAAAACTTTGGAAAGCCAAAATGTTAACACTCTTAAGAGCATCAAATCAAAATGAGTCTGATCGGAACAGCGAAATCGAAAAAAGCTCAACATTTCTAAAGAGAGTTGGGAGACCGGAAGGAACCCCCGGAAACAAACATTTCACAAGCAGTGGTATCAACTCAGTTGCAGTAAAACATGTCTGATATAATTTTGCGCAAACCACGTATTTTGTGAGAACATATGCTGAGTAAAAAAGCAAAAAAGGGCCACAGAACAAACATAACCGCCAAGGCGTCTTGACTGGTGAGTTAGTTTTAACACAATTGCATGATTCTATGAACTAAAATTTTAAACACAACCTGAAGCAATTGAATCGTGCCACTATCTACCTAGCGGGTGGTACTGTCAGGTGGAATGTTAGTCTGTCAGCAGTGGTATCGACACTGTGGTAGTAAAAATGAACATATGTTCTTAAATAATCCTCATTAGGTACACTCGATACAAAAAATCGGAAAGCTATGTAGAAAAAAAAAGAAAACAGATTGTGTCAACATACAACCAAACGAATAAACAGAATAGCGGAAGTCGTCTAATATTGACATTGCCTAAGTTGTAACCTTGGTTTAAGCACATCCGCATGTTATACACTGGAATTTTACAGACAAATTACGTCAACCATGCCAATACCAAAGTCTTGGCGGATTGCAAATTGTATGTATGGGGACTGATAGTCCACCAGCAGTTATCGTGCCAAATTGTTATCCAAATGAATGCTTTGATTTCAGTATCAAGCACGTGTTTATTGAGTAATCTCTCTGGATAAATTGGTGCAAGTCTGCATTAATAAATGAGATGAGACTTTATGTATATCATGCGTCCGAATCACTTTTCTAGATTTGCTTCATCAGGAACGTCCAAAGCCGATTATTTGAAATCCAAGGATGTATAAGAACCGAAACATTTGAAGAGCTACATGGTATATGAGCAACAAGGACATAAAATAATAGCCAAATCTATCTAAGGTCAACTTTGCCTGAGGGAGTTGAAACCTTAGTTACTTAATAATTTATAGATTTATAAACGAACAATTTAAAAAAGGTTTGTTATAAATCGTGGCATTACCGAAGTACCGACTACTGAGCAAAGTAATGAAACGTGTCATAATTTTAATCGAACCGAAAAGTACCCCAAAGCATTCTTTGTCACTGAATTCAGTGGCATCTCTGTGGCATTTCAACAGAGATCAACTTTGTTATTTTGATGATGTAGTATTGATGGCGGATCATCTTTAATCTATACCATAAATCTGGACGATGTTGTATATAAACACCCGTCTATTGTTAAACACTAAATGTTATCCTTTAGATGACTTTTGGTTATAACGTCGTTAGGTTGCTGTTTCATTGATGTATACCCACATCTTTTATTCACAAAGACAAGTTGCAGCATAAACTTAAAAACGACTATCACTGTATAAACTCTTGATTAGGTAAATACAGGGCTGGTATGCATAAAACTACTTACGTTAAGATTTTTTCCGAACGGACGGATTTTTCTACATGTCCTACGATAAATAAGTACCACGATTGGATATCTTAACCTAAGTGGTTTATGCATATCAGCCCAGGTTCATATCAATATGATTGATTTTGATATAAGGCTTGTAATGAGTTATCAGTCCTCCCTTGTTCTTAATGTCATGATCAGCAGAACGATCTTCGTCTTTTGGTAGTGTTTCATCGGTATTCAATAGAATCATAAGGTGGTTGCTTTAATTGTGGATTTTCAGTTTAACTTACAACGTAAATCGACAAAACGATGTCATTAAAAACATTTAAGCAGTTAACTTTTCTTATAGATTATTATATAAAAAAAAACGATTACAGTTTGTGAAGGCGTGTCTATATTTCCAATGACTCTTGCAACTTTGTTAATTTATAGGTATG